TCTGTAGGTAATTTTTTACCAACACTTGGGTTAAAACGAGGACTTGACGTTTAAACTTCAATATTTCGCAGAAATTTTGAATTTTAACATTGGACACAGAACTGACGGGTAAAAGTGAGTACAAAGATTATCAATTTTTTTAAATTGCTATTATTCGAATCTATGATAAAATATGAAAAATACATTATTTAATGTTTTATAGTTTGTGGTGAAATTGAAAAATTTAAGATAAATTGAATATATTTTAAAATAAAATCACTCAAATATTTGATTCAGGAGTTGTGACACGCCAAGGTACTGATGTTTTGAATATTTATTATGTTTTTCTACAAACGTGCTTTTGAAAAAATACATTAAAATTGGGTGGACAACGGATTTAAAAAAACGTTTATGTAAACAAAAGAAGGTCCATAATTCAAAAACAAAACATTTTTACAATCTCTATTGCATTTTCTATTTTTGGTAGAAACACCCTTAATATTTTCACGCCAAACATTTTGAACATAACTCTATTGCAAGTAAAGTTGCAGTTTCAAAGTGCAAAATTTCATCCCCCATTTAATTTTGCCACTTTAAAACGGGACTCTCCTGCGGCTTTATTATCCATAAAATATGTATCCTGTTAAAGATAAGATAAGAGGGATTCAGTAGAGAGACTAAATCACTTCTTGCCAAGCAATGAATAATCAATTTTTACAACCTGAGATTCTTCCCCTAGGTATAATCGGGGATACTTTTTTTATACCGGAAATATGAATAAAATTACCAGTTTTTGAGTGGGTACGTGAGTTTTACCCTAAAAGGCCAATAGATCCAATGAATGACAAAGGAATAATAAGTAGTTTTTATACCTACCGCAAAGATCTACATTGTTAAAATTTCAATGATAAATTTACTATGATTTTCTTGTGCACATGTGTAGTTTGGCTCACTAAACGCGAAATTCACACTTTTTTCATGAAAGCGTTTTCGAGATGAATTTTCAATTGTTTTATTTTTATTTTCTGAGGTGTTTTGACGTTTTAGAGTATAATTAATCGATTTAACCAAACAATCACTTAAATCAAAGGTAATTGAGCCCTCTACAACTTTCTCTTGTATAGTTTTGGTATCGGCTCAGTAGTTCGATACTGGCGATTTTATGAAATTGAAAAAGTCCTTTTTTTTACAAAAATCGAGAATTTTTACGTTTTTTCTTCATTTTATTGAATTATTTAAAATTTAATATTGAACTTGATTTTTATTTTAAACATTAAATATTGAAATTAAATTATATATTGAACAATAAATATTGAACATTGAAGATATTAAAAGTTTAGGTTTAAAAAATTCTTTGTTTTTTGTTGCTTTCGTATTCCGTTTCTCGTATGAGGGACCAAATGTAATCACCCATCACGGTTGCATCCCAGAAGCCGTGATACCGCCGCTCCATAGCCTTCATTTGCTGGTGAAAACGTTCTCCGTGCTCATCACTCACGTCGCCCAGATTGTCCGGGTTATTTACGCTCTCGAACTCTACTTCTTTTACTCATTTTACACTTTTTATTAACTAAATAAAACCATGATAAAAATACCTTGTTGAAATATCAAAAAATAGCAGTAAAATGTCACTATGCCAACACGAGAAACAAAAGAATAAACATATTACAAAATAAAAGAACAAAATAAAATAACTACCACTAAAAAATTCATAACTTCGCCATTTTTTCATGTATTATTATCAACATTAGCTTGTTTATTTTGTTAAAATATCAGCTTCACGAAAAAAAAATCAAACTGGAGTTATCTGTTTGATTAATAATTCAATAAAAAATAACATATTCGATCATTTTTAAAAACCTACTTCAATTTTCTTTTAAACATTTTAAAACATTTACGATTAAAAAGTGAAATGGGGTGCCATATTTGCATGTATTTTTTTTTGTAATTTCTTGAAAACATTTTTTAAATCAGCCCACCCAAATTATCCTAGTTTTTGACCACCATGTGCTTAATTTTCAATATCATTACATTTAATATGAACTCATTAATAATAATAATAATTGACACAACCAGATTAAATAAATGTGTTTTGAAAGTGCATAATCAATTAAATAAAACTGCGAATTACGATTAACGTTAAGTGCATTAATTTAATACTAAAGCATGGAATTTTGTTTATATTTAAACCCATTCATATTTTTAATTGAAATGGCGACCCCAAGTGACTGTTGATGTAATGGAATTTTAAAGTGGGTTAATTAATTCTGCGAATAATGAAGATGATGGTAGTAAATTTATAATGCCATACGATGACTTTAAACCACAAGAACCACAATATGGTTAATAAAAATAAACCAACGTAAATATAAACACACTCGAGTGGAATAAGAATAAAAAATAATTGAATCAAGCCGGCGGTCCCTTTATTAAGTAAATACATAAATAAACAAAGTGAGCATAGCCAAAGAAAACAATGACTTTGAGTGTGCTTAGGCCGCGACATTGTTTATAAACAATTTTATTACCGGCGCGTGGTAAATTGTCTGCATGGCGATTAGTTTACTGTTAAGTCTTTGTTTGTTTACACAGAGAACAAAGATTATTTGAATTAAATAAATTTTATTTATATCAAATAAATTATTTATTTCGATATACCCAAATAAATGTTCTTTTGAATGTAAAAAAATATTTATTTGTTTTAATTTATTTAATTTAAAATTAATTTATTCAACGCAAACAAATATTATTAGTTTGTATGAAATAAAACCAAGTAAAACACATGTATTTTTTTAAATTAAAGAAATGTTTTTATTTACGTAAAACAGATAATTTATTTCATTTAAAATTAATTTATTTAACTTAAATACCTATAATATTTGTGTTAAAAACAATTTATTTGAATTAAGAGATATTTTTTTTTAAATTAATAAATTTTAATTTAAATTTAAGAAGAATTAATTAATTTAATTTAGATTTATTTATTTAAATTAAATAATTATTATATTTGAATTAATAAAAATTATTTATTCAGATTAAAAGATATATTTTTTTAATTAATAATATTTTTTTTCATCTAATCTAGTAATTAATATATATTGGTATATTGGGGAGTAAAAATAAATTAATTTTTTTATGAATAAACACTAATCTTTATTGCATAAAAGTCTTATAAATACATATAGGAAACCCTAAAATATACAAATACTTCACTAACTTAAAAAATACTTATGTTAATTTTAACTTAATGTTAATGTGTGCTGCATAAATCCACCAGGGTCTGCAAATAATAATGATAAGTAATTATTTAAATTACTTACCTTTAAAAACAGGAATAAATTTCTCAAGACCCCATTCCTTTAAAAGGTCCTCCATAGTATAAAATAATATAAAATTATTTATTATTTTATTATAATGCCACACAACACTTCTCATCAACACCCTGCTCTAAATTGGAGTCTCTAAAATCACGTACATACAAAATGGAAAGCCCATTGGGTGCCTGCAGTCGCCTGATTTACATCAACCAATAGGATGCAAGTCATGCTACTTCGACCTGAGCAAAATAGTTTAAATAAACCTCTGCTTTAAATCAAATTACAATTTTTTTGTATTTAAATAATAATTTGTTTATTTTAAATAATTAATTTTTTTGAATTAAATCAAAATTATATTTTAAAATTAAACCATGTTTTTAAAAAAATAATATTTGTTGTTTAATTTAAACTTTTTAATTTTTTAAAACAAGTAAATTGTTTTTATAATTTAAGAAAGTAAACTTTTATTTAAACAGAATAAGTGCAATTTTGAAATAAAAGTCAGGTACTTTGTTTTAAATATATATTTTAATAAATTTGCTTTTTCCTTTTAAAAAAAGACAATTATTCTTTTTAAAGAAATGTTTTTGAATTAAATTTATATTTTTTTAAATGTAATAAATAAAATTAAACAAACATTCTTGTTTGAATTAAAACATCTTTTTTCTCTGTGTATTAATTTACATAAACATAAATTTAACTAAGCATGCGGTGAGTAGGGTTGGGACAGTTGAAATTTTCAAATGAAAATTTCAACTTTGAAAGTTTCAAACTTGAAATATTTTATTTAGTTGGAAAAGTGAAATTTTTTAAAATTTCAAATGAAATTTTCAATCCGAAAATTTCAACATTGCCTGTGAAAGTTTCAGAAATTTCATTGAAAGTTTCGCAATTTACTGAAAATTTCGCATAAATTTCACATGCGGCCTCCCCTGGGACCTTTAATAATAATTTACAACAGATTCCGAATCGGCCAATAAGAACGAGTTATCAAGCGTCTGGGCGTTTTTGTTTAGTTCGGCTTGGATTTGAATACACTATAAGTAATTATTGTTACTTATATGCAAAAATTAATTTAAATAATTTAATTCAGTTACCAATTTAATTTGTAAATTAAATCATCAATTTTTTTTAAAAGTCATGATTAATTTAACCTTTTACTTTTGCTATAATTGCATCGGAAAACGGATAAAAAATGCCTTAGGCTCATAACATTTTGATGAAGTTTCTTCAATTTTCGTAAAATTTCAGTAAAAGATTTAAAAATAATAAATATATATAAATATAAAACAATGAAAGTGGCACAATCTCATTAGCTTGCCAAAAAGTGCTATATCTCTTTTAGTTTTAGTAATTTTAAAAATATTTTAAAAGGAAATCTCAAGAAATTTGTGGTAAACATAGGTATTTACTATTTATATTATTGGGGCCGGGGCCCTCAGAGGGGTAGGAGGTAAGAGATGCAATTTGCCATGGTCCCCGAGTGGGCTTATTTCAATATTAATATATTACACTTAAAGTGATTGAAATTTATTAAAAGTTTCAATAAATTTCATAAATTTCATGAAATTTCAGAAATTTAGGAAATTTTAATAAATTTCATAAATGTCATGAAAATTTCAAGTGAAATTTCAAGTAAAAGCAAAAAGTGAAATTTTCCCAACCCTAGCGGTGAGTTTGAGTCTAAAGCGATGTTTTTGTTGCAGATCGTCCACTCTAGGTCACAAGGGAGGCAGTGCGATACCATTACCGGGTAGTGCCCTTCCTGCCAGAAGATGCCCCCCGGACAAGGTGCGCCCAGTGGCGTGCTCGAGTCGTGCTGCAAGCCCAGCTCTTTCAATGATTCCAAGAGGATCACCAGCTGCAGCTGGTAGGATATTTTTTTTTACTCAAGATTAATAAAATACTAATCAAGACATTCACAATACATTTTACATAAAATGCATTAAAATTTTAGTTTTAGTCACAATCCACACAACAAGGTTTATTCTATCTCATGCTAAAAATACTAAAAATCACTGCAACGGCGGCCATTTTTGTTGTTTACAATTCTTGTGCTTTGGGTTTGTGCTGTTTAATAATTGTTTTAAACGTTGGGTTTCTTACAGAGGCACTTGTTAAGTGCTAAGGACAACCATTTTACTCCTCTTTTATAATAAATAAACCTTATTATGGCTGTGTTCCGTAATTTACTGCCATTACTGTCAGTAATTTTACTGTCAGTAGCGGAAAAGGACCGTTCCGTAATTTATTCAGTACTGACGCACAGTCAAATTGAAACGCGCCTCAGTAGCAGCAGAAAGTGACAATGGTTACGCAAGGTTATGATTTGTGATTTACTGACAATTGACAAACTTTACTTTCGGCACAGCAGAGAACATAAATAAAAAATAAATATAACAGTTAACTTATAATTATAAGAAATAGGTTTATGGCAGAGAAATATGGAAAATTTAATGTTATCGTCGTCCGCGTCGAAAAATGTATATAGGAATAGGAAATATAAAATTTCACTGACACCACAACAATAAGCCAAATACCAAAAATTACTCTTAAATTCGTCCGCTGAATACAAATATATAACATTTTCTAGGTACTACCCATAGGAAGTACTATAGTAGGTAGTTTCATATTCTGGGTCTTCGTATGCGTACTCCCCGCCGACCTGCCTTCGTCACTGCTGCTTGTACTTTCAAGTAATATTTTATCAATAAATATTGAAATAATTAGTGCTATAGGTATTCACCAAATACCATTATATGATATAATTTATATCCTTCACTTTATTTAACAGCTATTTTTTGTTTAAAAGTTTGGTTATGTGTTTTACTGGAGCCACAGCACCTCTCTGTCCCCAGTTGTTTCAGTAAAATTAATCTGCCGTATATTTATAAAAGGGTAGTATTTACCACTGAGCTCAGTAACTGAAAGTGGATTTCGGAATGCGTTTTCAGTACCGACAGTACTGACAGTAAATTACGGAACATAGGCTATATCAGGGATGTCAAATGACAATTTGAAGGTTAATTTGTGGGTTATAATTTAACCTTAAGATTCACATTTGACAGTTTTATGACTGCCCTGATAGAATAAAGTTTATTTTTTATAATAGAGGAGTAAAATGGTTGTTCTTAGCACTTTAAGGACTCTTTTAAGGCTTAGTTTGAGAAACACAACGTTTAAAACGATTATTAATCTGTATAAACAGAGCACAAACCCAAAGCACAAAAATTGTAAACAACAAAAATGGCCGCCGTTAAACTGTGCAGTGATTTTTTGTATTTTTAGTACGAGATAGATCAGACCTTGTTGTGTGGATTGTGGTTTTAGTATTTAAAATGTCATATTGTTAAGACAAATATGATCTATTTGCCGTATACCAATTACTTTAGTTCATTCAAGATAAATTCAAGCCAAAATTATTTAATAAATAATTAAAATACCAACAAAAAACTTACATTTTGAGGTGATTGAGCAGAGCATTTTATTACGAAATTATTTTAAATCCTAGACGTCCTAGAGAAAAACTAATTACATTTTTGAAATCAGCGCCCCAAAATTAGTTAAACCAAGCTGGAGTACTTAATGTAAAAAGTTTGTAAAACTATCATAGTGTTATGAACTAAACTGCTCGTCATAAAAATCGACGCACCTAGTTTTTTGGAAAATATTTGAAAGCTCGTTATTGAAAAATTACTGAATCGATTTTAAAAATCTTTGGAAATTCTGAATAGCTGATTCTTTGACTCTTATGTCCAATTTTGGGAATACGATATTTTGCACATAGCAAGGGTGTTAAACGAAGAGATGTATTTTTTCCGAAATTTCAAGTTATTTCCATTCATGAGGCAGTTGAGTTTGATAGTCCTAATACCCCTCCCTAATATAAGTAAGGCAATCCCTCGGAACTTTTTCGAGATTTTGTGAATATCGCGGCTTACTACGATTATATGCCAATTAATCAAAAATTGTCGTTATTTCCCAGTTTAGTCCAAAAAATGAGCAATAGTGGATTCTTTGACTTCCGTCTAATTTTGAGAATACGATATTGTGCACATAGCATTAAACTACACGGTGTTAAAAAAAGGGATATTTTTTTCCAAAATTTCAAATCCCCATTCACAGGGCAGTTGAGCTTGATAGTCGTAATATTCCTTCCTAATAACAGTTAGGTTATCCCTCGGGACGTTTTCGAGATTTTGTGGATATCTTGGCTAACTGCGATTATATGGCAATTTTTCGAAAATTTACGTTATTCTTCATTTTAGTCCAAAAAATGAGTTGATTCTTTGACTCTTATGTCTAATTTTGGAATTACGTTATTGTGCACATGATACTACAGGGTGTTAAAAAAGAGATGTTTTTTTCCAAAATTCCAAATCCCCATTCACAGGGCAGTTGAGCTTGATAGTCCTAATACCCCTTCCTAATAACAGTTAGGTAATCCCTCGGGACGTTTTCGAGATTTTGTGAATATCTTGGCTAACTACGATTATATAGCAATTTTTGGAAAATTGTCATCATTCTCCACTTAATTTCCAAAAATGAGCAAACTACGAAAGTTATTGATTAGTTATCAACACATCGTTTCCCCAATTTGTTCTTGTGCCCATCTTCTTCTAGCAGAAAAAGAGGGCAGACAGCTCTTCGTCTTGCGTGGTATGCAATCTTACATCCGTTATTTTATTTTTTAAATGTGTTTTGCTGTTTGAAAAATTTTCATATTCGACGACAAAAATGACAAGAATAATTGAAGGAAGGAAACTCAAAACCAGATATGCGCCATATTTTTTAAACTTTCATAGTCAACCATTTGTAGAAAATTGCATTAATATAGCCTGCATAAGTTTGAATTGGTTTTGTGTGAAACATTTCACTTTTAATAAATCACGCAACGTACATAAACTGGAAGCACGTGACCTTCCTTAAAACGCTGTGTTGATACCTTCCGTAGTTTGCTCATTTTTTGAGTTAAGTGAAGAATAACGACAATTTTCGAAAAATTGGTATATAATCGTAGTTATCCAAGATATCCATAAAATCTCGAAAACGTCCCGAGGGATTACCTTACTAATATTAGGGAGGGGTATTACGAATATCAAACTCAACTGCCTCATAAATGGGAATACCTTGAAATTTCGGAAAAAATACATCTCATCGTTTAACACCCTGTAGTATAATGCTATGTGCAAAATATCGTATTCCCAAAATTAGTCATAAGAGACAAAGAATCAGCTATTCAGAATTTACAAAGATTTTCAAAATCGATTCGGTAATTTTCCAATAACGAGCATTTAAATATTTCCAAAAAACTAGGTGCGTTGATTTTTATGACGAGCAGTTTATATTCAATCTAGACCATAGCAAGTGAAGTGGTGCAATATTACCACAAATTTTTACAACAATATTGTAGCACTTAATTTAAAACTGTTTCTTTCCGTGTAGAAATATTCTCGACAATATTTTTTTTGCTTTCAGCAACTCCGATAGCGAGCCCATATCAAACAAACGCCCAGCAAAAAAACTCGATGCTCGACAAGCTGAAGCTGTTCAAAAGCAACGACGCAAAACCAGCGCCATCTACCAACGGCAAACGAACCAGCTCGAGCAGCGGCGTATCCTCGGCTCGGAGCGAAAGAAGCGACAGCAGCGCCAGCCTAGAACCCACCGCAGAAGTAAAACCGGCAACCCGCAACACTTCCAGGCTGCAGCAGGCGCGCCCCAAGAAGCCCACGCCCGCCAGAAACAGCCCCAACAGCGCCAAGAAGGAGGCGAAACCCACGAAGGTGGAAGTGGAGAAGCATGCCCAGAAAGTGGCCAGTCTCTCCGAGCTAAAGGTGCGAGCCACAGTAAAATCTACGGCGATTGATGTTAAGAGCAACATTCAACCTGGTACTGGTATACCTAAACCCACGGCTGCCATTAAAGGTACCACGAAGGTATCTCGCGGCACGTCGCAAGACCAAGACAAGAACGTATCAAGAGAGAGCTCTCAGAACAACATATCGCACAACAAGCCTGTTGTGGCTTTGGTATCGCCGATGAAGAGCGAGAATAATCAACTGTCCGAAAGCAGTCACAGTGCTTCAACGGGTCATCACAGCAACTCCAGTGAGAGTAGTGTGATCTACAAACCGTCCAGTGAAAGTGGTTCCGAACACCACAACATCATACCCAACCGCAAGGAACCACCGCAGTACATATCAGACGTAGAGCAGACCACCACATCCGTCGAGTCAGTCAAAGAGAAACCTGATACCCCAGAGAAGCAGGAACACGAGAAGATATCGCCTGCAGAGGAGGAGAACAAAATCATCACAGGGTCTCGTAAAGTCCTCAACAACATCAGGGAAGAGGAGAGCCTCAGCATCGAGCCGATGCGGCCCCTGCTTAGAGGGTACTGCGGCACGCTTACGCTGCCCAACAGGCAGAGGCACTACCCGAGGGTTCAACCGGACGGGGGATCGGACTACTGCGAGATATCGCTGTGCAACGGGTACCTGTCGGAGGGGGAAATTTTGAGGCACACCGGCGGGATGGATCTCGGGGACGGATACATGTCGGAGAGCGGGTCTGTGCTGTACGCGCGCCGGTTGCAGACCCTGCCCGCCCACATTCCCAACGGGTGAGTTCGATAGTTTGCTGTTTAAGCGCGTTTAGCTGTGCTGTACGGAACGCAGTCTTTTGAAAATTTCAGGTTATGTATCTGTCAAAGTATAGTCCACGAAAGAAATAATATTTATAGTGTTTAAGCGTTAAAAGTTAATAAATCTTTATAGAATCACAATAACAATGGTTGGTTTAAGAATTTAGCAATATAAATACTGCACTTAATGAAATTCCAAAGTGTAAGGTGTAATATAAGTGATATTTTTGTGCATTGGGTCTACATTTCCCCATAAAATAGTTTTAACTAAACAGCATTTATTAAAAAAAATCTAACTTCTTTATTATGAAATAAGAATATCTGTATCAAAGGTAAGTTAATGTATAAGAACAAAAAATATCATCTAATTTTGTATTTTAAAGTTAGAAAAATCTATTTTGACCAAAATAAATAAGTGGATTATTTGAAAGAGTGTGTTAATATGGTCATAAATAAATATAGGTATACTATAATAATTGTTGAATATAGTTCAAATTAAATTGAAACTTTTATACTTCTAATAACAAAACTTGTGCATACCTCTCGGCATACTTACTTTAAGTTAGATTATAAGAAAACAAACAATTTTTAGAGAAACTTGCAATGTGAAAATATTTAATACTCCCATGACATGTGATTTATTAAAATTTTTAAGGTTTTAATGATTTTTTGATGTACATCAAATTCAGTCGAAGCTTTTTAACTATTTGTATTGAAAAAACTTTATGTAGGTACACTTTAAGCTGGACAAGAAAAACTACCACATTTTTAAATACCATATCATACAGTCTTTTAAATAATCCAAAATACTTATTTATTTTGGTCAAAATAAATTTTTCTAACCTTAAAATTACAATATTAGATGATATTTTTGTTATAATATATTAACCTACCTTTAATACAGATATTCGTATTCCATAATAGAGAAGCTAGATTTTTTTAATAAATGCTGTTTAGTTAAAAAAATGTTATGAAGTAAACCAGATATTTGGACCAAATGCACAAAAATATTACTTATTTGGCACCATACACTTTGGAATTTCATTAAATGCAGTATTTATATTCTTAAATTCTTAAACCATTGTTATAGTAATGTTATACAGATTTATACATTTTTAACGCCTAAACAAAATATTATTTCTTTCGTTGACTATACTTTGACAGATACATAACCTGAAAAGCCTTAGATGCCAAATTTTCAAAAGGCTGCGTTCCGTACGTGGTCACGTGGTGGGACTTTGAGGTGTGGAGCATAGTACCTTCAGAAGGGTAAAAATAAGAAAAAACCTTGTTTGAAAAAAAATATCTTTTTTTCTGACTTCTTGAGAAATTTTTCAGTGCTTAGGGGTATTTCCATTGTAACGGGTGCGACAGTGAAACTGCGCTTTTTCATGATAATAAATTGTTTGTCCCTGTGTATCAAGATACATATAATAGCATAAAAAATTAGGTATTTAACTCAAACAAAATGTCAATAAAAACTTGTATAGAAAACCTTTTATGACGTCATGAATAGCGTAACGGGTGCGACCTTGGAAAATCGGCAAATGCTACCAAGTTGGCTTCTAAAGTTGATACTGTAAAATTTTTGATGAAAGCATGTAGTAATAATTTTTTGTGTAAAACTTGAATAGTAACCTTAAACAAGCACGTATTTAAAATAAACAAATATTGTACACTTTATTTTCTAAAATTTAAAATGTAACGGGATGACAATTTGAACATTTTATCGAGTATTGAAACTCTGTGTTTATTCTTAATGTTAGCTTCTTAGCATCACATTTCGTGGAAATACCCTCAGGTTAAAAATTAATTTAAAAATCTAAATCTTTGGGAGAACCTTAAGGAGGGTAAAAAAGTAAAAACAAACCTTGTTTGAGAAAAAATTATTTTTTTTTCTTACCTTTTAAGGAATTTTTCATATTTTTTTTAAGTGGTCATGGCTCAGGTTAAAAATTAATTTAAAAATCTGAATCTTTGGAAGTACCTTCATTTTTATTTTTTGTTCTTTTATTTCCCCCTTACTTTTAGCTGAAAATAATCAGTGTTTTAATATTTGTAAAACCAAAAAACTCCAAAAATGTCTTTTTCTCTGTGGGACACCCTGTATAATATAGGGATTTTTATGGACTTAATGTTCTATTACTGTATAGTCATCCAACACGGAAAAGCTGTTTATTGTCCTGACAAGTTCTAAATCCAGAAGGGGGGATTAGTACAATAACAACCTGATTCGATCATTGTTATGAACGAAATTTTCCAGCACTAAAGAAAAGCATTACCAACATTGTTTGGGTTTTAAAGTAAATCACGTAGGAATCCCCCCTTTTACCCTGAAGTAAAGATTAATGAGAATCAATCTTTTGAAGCGACACCATAGATAAAACAAATTCTTGCTTTTATTTATAAAGCAAGCGACCGTGATTAATATACAACTTTAATAAATATATTGCAACATGTCGCGTTAAAAATAAATACACTGGACATGCATATTTATGCATGGAGGCGTAAATTATATCTTTTTTTTTTTGCTTCTATACATTGCAAGGTGAATGTATGAATGAACATCTGGTGACAACATTTACAGAAATACACATTTTATCTATCTTACAAGAAAAAAAAGCTATATATAAATTTGGTCTAATCGATTGTTAATCTAAAATTAAGAATAAGATTATTTCATTTAAAGTCTTTCTTAACATTTAACAGGCAATAATAAGATCTGCTTGTTTAAAGAAAGATTAATATTCAGTTTAATGTTAGTTTTAGCCTTGACAATATTAGATCAATCATCTTGTTTCAACTGTACTTGATTTTAAGCTAAGAAATAAAATGTTTTTAATTTAAGGATAGGTTACTATTTAAAAGAAATTTAATGTATTCGTAGCCTAAGCAAATTATACTTAAACCAAGTGAATTTTTTTAAGAATAAAGGTATTGTTACATTTAGAAAACTCCCTCTATAAACTTTGGCTAAACATTTCCAATTCGAACAACTTATTTGTAGGTAATCCAGGTATTTCTTATAACTTCCCCAATATATCTTGCAAGACTACAGTCTGTCACATGAACTGATTTAAGGCCCAACAGAGTGCGATGAAATGGAAAAAGTATAATTCGCTTCATTTATAACTTCTACGCTGCAAGAATACTGCAGCATGTTTATTATTTTCTTTTCAAGAAAATAAGAAGATTATTATTTAGCACCAAGCACACATAGGATAAAGTAGACAGTTATCGGACACTTTATAGTTTGGACAATTAACATTAATACTGTAAAAACAAGAGTTATATTAATAGTTACCTTAAAGTCAAATCATTAGATGACGCTGTATACAATTATAACTATCTCAGTCGGTAATAATATAGAACTACTTTATTTTAGGTCCAATATAGGACAAAAAAGTTTGCACGTTACTTTGGTGGTAAGATTTTTGTTTTTTGTTAAAAGCAGGGTTGTGTTTAAATTACAATAAAAAATATTTCTAAAAAGTGTACAGATCAGTGTGTGGTATAAATGTATTCCTCAAGGTTTAAACATTGTCACTGTAATGAGTTTTAATTTTAATTCTGAAAACATCTATTATTGGACATGTGTCCAATATCATACTCTATTTGTATCCCGGACATTTACCAGCCAATTCTTATGTAAAATTGTCCCCTGAATCCGAAAAGACCGTCAAAAACTATAAAAGTTAAGTAGTTTTTGAGATATAGTCAATTCCATATTATATGTAAAATTGATTATATTTCAAAAACTGTTCTACTTTTATAACTTTTGACGACATTTTCGGATTCAGCGAATAATATTTCATAGGAATTGACTGCTAAATGTCCTGAATACAAATTGCTGTACACACAACCCTGCTGTTTCGCTATGACATTTTTGACTAACTCATGTTTAGATAGTAAGTAATATAGTGATTTCTTCGTCACAGGACATCTTACAGAATAACAGTGATTCAAATACAGTGCATGATAGAAAACATAAAAAAGTAATGGCAAGAAAATTAATTAATTCGGAAAATACTTTTAACATACCACCCGAAAAAATATTAGATATATATAAATCATCCTGTTCCGGCCTAAACATTATAAATGCTTCACAAAGTAGAGATACCACACTTAATGATACTTGCAACAAACTATTTCAGAAGTCAGACCAAGGAATTAGTAGTTACCTTCAAAATCCAGAAAAGGGATGAGGAATCCGAGAAAGAAATATATGAATTATATGATATTTACAAAAACGAAATAAAAAAAATTACCTAAAACAGCAATTTATCTTTAAAAAATATTTAACAATTTATGTTATTGCATGTAAAGTTGTTATGTTTATATAAAAATTGTATGTCCAATAGCTATGGTCAATGTGTCCAATTACTATATAAAATGTCCAATTACTATACTTTTTTGCATGTTTTTATAAAACTATTATTAAAAATTGAAATATTATTATTTTTAAGTAAACGTAAATAAAGTTTAAACAAACTAAAATCTTTAAAACAACGGAATATAAATTTCAAATAAATAATATTTTTTAAGTGTCCAATAACTATGTGGTTTACCTACCATAATATAAAAAAAAGTGTTGCAGAAACTTAATAAATGGATGTTCAGGAAATATGTTGGAACAGTCCCTGTGGAGAAAAGTTGTGCACTATTATAAACTTCCTCTCATCTATTTCACCGAAGATTTTTTTAATTAAACAGTTTTATACCCCCAATTGTATACATTGAAAACATGTCGTGACTATTAAGCCGAAATTTAGAAATTTAAGTACCCCACCTCTCGTTTATGGTATAACAATTTTATTAATATACCTAATCACGCCATTGAATTAATTGCTACTTGACACGAAACAAAGTGGGTTCAATGAAAATGTGGAGAATATAGGCTTTACCAATAAACGCGACTTGGAACCATATAAATATTATGGCATTTTTAAATTCCACGTTAAATTCTAGAAATACTAAAT